TTTACACAGGCCTACTCCTCAAGCCTGTCAAGGTCCCTCTGGGTGGCATCCCTTCCCTCTAGTGAATCAACAAGGAAAATAAAATTTGGAAAGAAAACTTGTACTGCTTTAGTAATCACAGTGATCTCTTCTCTTCAGAGTTTCTGTAGGTTTAAATCAATGTGCAGGGTGGGTAGCTTGAACCTGAGCAATCCAGTGGGCAGAAACCAGGAAAAACACTGCTTTGGTTAAAGCTATTTGGGAGGCTGAGACAGGTCCCCAGATGGGAACATTTGTACCCAGAAGGGACATTTTGCCACCAGATTTTTCTTCTTTTCCTATCTCATAGAAAGTACAATGCCATTTCAATCATACACAGCAGACTACCAGAGAGAAATGGCTTGCTGTATGACACTTCTGTTCAGTACTCAGAGCTACTGCTGAGCTACATTCGGTTAGACTCATGGAAATAACCCCCATTTACTTTCCATCCACTAATGGAAAGAGGGAAAACTAAACAACCTGCTTCTTTATGTTCTTTCTGTAGGAGTTACAACTTAGTAAATCCTTCTGAAGTAGAATACATAGTCCTTTAAACTAGGGTCCTTAATACTTCCAATAATGTATGGTTCAGGGATGGAGGCTAATGAACTTCAAAGGAGAGAAACCAGCAGAGACTGGACTCCTAACACGTAGTGGAGGTGGCATTCTGGGTTTGAACACGATTGAGAGAGCATGAAGCAAAGTGGGAAGAACTGTTTTTCATGATGATTATTGCCAAGGAGAGGTGACCACAGTAAAAAGAAGCAGGGAATATGAAAGTCAAGATGTAAGGGGTAGTCTCCATGTGAGATTTAGTTGACCACATCCGCGTCCAGTACCATCCTCCTGAGACCATGAGCTGGGAGGACGGATCACCACCTCTACATTTCTCCTCATGACAGATATGTATTAACCACACTCCTTTCCAAACTTCGTGTGAGAAGGGAGAGATGTCATGAAAAAGGGGGAAGAGAAAACAAAAATGGGAAAAATGAATAAGAAAGGAAGAACATAGGAGGCATAGAAAGAGACATAGACTATGTCAAACAAAGATGGGACTGACAGGAATGAAGAAGCGTGTAGCAGCATATGGACGAGGAAAAATATACTTACAGTGACAGCGAAGGGAGATGTATCAGCAGTAGTATAACAGTGAATGTGATCTGAGTATGAGAGTCACATGTGGGCAGAGGGCCAGTTTGACTTTTTACACATTACCAGTGAAACAAACTGCCTGCCTGAAAAAGAATCAGGGCAACTCAAGTCATATTACATCATGTGTACAAAAACCCCAAAGACAACAATGAAAGAGCTCCTACTGTTCCTGCCCAGCAGCAGATACATGATGAAAAATGCCAAACCACATGAGCAAATTTTTCCCCCAATCTTGGGCCCCTCTTCCCTTGAGGGCTTTGTCCCATGGCACTCTGCCAAGCAGATCCCTGAAGAGGCCGAAGTCTGCCCTCCTGAAGTCCAGGGTAGTGAGCTTGCTGTGCGCCCTCCTCGGTGCCCTAAGGATCTTGAACTCCACCATTTCGTGGTCACTGCAGCCCAGGCTGCCCTTGAGCTTCACATTCCCCACCAGCCCCTCCTTGTTGGTGAGAACAAGGTCCAGCATAGCACTTCTCCTCGTCGTTGGCTCCTCTATCACTTGGAGAAGGAAGTTACCATCGATGCATTCCAGGAACCTCCTGGATTGCTTATGCCCTGCCGTGTTGTCCCTCCAACAGATGTCAGGGTGGTTGAAGTCCCCTACGAGGACCAGGGCTTGTGAACTATCTGTCTATAGAGGTCCTCATCCGCTTGGTCTTCCTGGTTGGGTGGCCTGTAGCAGACCCCCACTGTAATGTCACCTGTCCCTGCCCTTCCTTTAATCCTGACCCACCAACTCTCGGTCGGCTCCTCATCCATCCCCAGGCAGAGCTCCATGCACTCCAGCTGGTCATTGACACAGAGGGCGACACCCCCTCCTCGTCTCCCCTGCCTGTCCTTCCTAAAGAGCCTGTATCCCTCCATTCCAATTAGGACCAGATCACTTCCTCCTGGTTTACTGACTGACAGTAAAGGCAAAAATGAGAAATTCCCTATGATAAAGTATTTTATAATTATTCCAGAGGGATTTATTTCTCCACCTGTTCGATGATACAGTAGAGATTAAATGACCTATTGATGTTTATGTTTAGGAAGAAGCTTGATGGTCTTCTACATTTAAGCCCGATTTCCTTTAAGCATTTTGTCTGCCCAGCTAGCCAGCGCTTTCACACCGTTTAAGCACTGTAGTTATATGGAATGGCCTGGTCAAATGGCTGCAGAAGGGACAGTTGACCAGGCTAAATTAAATAAATTACTTTGGTAACTCGCCGCTATTTTCCCAGTAAATTCCATTCCCTGGTACAGGCACAGCCGCACAAAGTTGGAGACCAAAGTGGTTGTGGCACTGCCACCAAAAATCTGCCCAAAGCGCAGACGACCTGCACAGGATCCCAGTGCTGTCTCTGAGCACCCCCCTGTGACGAGCCTGTGACAGATGGGAACCTAAGGCCCGGGACAGGGTCTTGGTCAAGGCCACACACAAAGGCTGAAACTCAGGGATCTGGTCCACATTTTTCAAAGATGATGCAACTTCCCCTCCAATCTATCCTTGAGCTAAATTATCTTCTATGCATATAAAACTTCTGTAACTTCAGAGGTAACTTCTATATGTCAGTTGTGTGCCCACAACTATATATATTATTAAAATTCCTGATACTGATATTAAACATTAATTAATTTATCTCACAACTTTCAACAGCGTACACCATTATTACCATCTGGTAAGGCTTAAGCTGTACCATATACATATGTACAATTTACCTTCGCTTTTAAGAGATAAGTATACCCATCCGCATGATGGCAATGCTTTGGAAGCACTCTATAAGCAGTCACTATTCCCATAAATGTTCCATTTATTTTCCTGAATATATTTGAAAATCACATCCCGAATACAATTCCAATGCTACACACGTGCTCTGGGAAAAACAATTATGCCTTTGTAGGAAAACGTGAATTTCAGGATTGCAAAGCAAAAATCCTGAGAGCGAATGAAGACCATCTCCAGGACGCCTTTCCCTATGTTTGACACACACCGGTAGGAAGTTCTTACTTCAAAAACCTCAAGAGACACTGCATTTATCATATTAGAGTGATAATACTTCAAGAAGACATTGTGAGTAAAGCAGCTTAAACAGCTCAATGCTACAGCTGTAACTTAAGCTGTTCTCATTTATTACTGCCATTGTGATTGATAGAGTTTGCACTCTCCGTAGCACTTCTTATTCATAATAGTGTAATTGTTAAGTAAGACTTTGATTCAACTATTTTTATAAAACACGCATAAAAGATGCAAAATGGCAAATTGGAGATAATTGCAATTAATTGCACCAGCAAGTACTAAAGCATCTGTAGCTTAAGAAAATCGGCATCTTGCAGACACACTTACGATTTTCTGAAACAAAACAGGTAAAAATGTATTTAAATCATCTTAGATTTTTTATGAATGTATCAACAGACTGAAGGAAAGTCCCCAAAATTAGAGGGCAACAGTGCCATCTTGAGGTCAGTAGAGAATTAAAGGAAGAGGACAGCTGCAGGTATTGCTCTGAAGGTATTTTACTTTCAAATGCAGAAAGTATTTGTTCCATTTATATGTTCCAAGAAAAAAAAGAAAAAAAATACTCTCAAGCCATTTTTTTAGTTTGGTCTTGTTAAAAACAAAGCCTTTGCAAACACCAGCCATTTCACAATACAGTCTTTCCTGAATCATTAATGACTAATTTATTTTCTTGGTTGCTCCGTTTCCTCCTTTCACTAATTGGTACCTGCATTTTGCGGATGACAAAGCATACAACAAAATTCTTGCATCCTACATATTTTTTCAGACTAGACTAACACTACTGCACATCCTACCCTTTGCTAGTTTATGGGCTACGTAATAAAGATCCACATGAAGGCCAGTAGAACTGCATTGCAGACCTTCTGGTTGAGGCGCAGAACAGAAAAAACTGGATATACAAACATGGTGAGAAAGCAGGGATTCGCCCTCCAAATATGCGTGAGAATCTTAAACAGCATGAAAGAATGCAGCAGGAAAGCCGCACTGATCCATATGGCACAGCTACTGTGGCTGTGCATACCTGCCAGACAACTCCGACCACACCTAGCGCTGGGTAATGACCACCAGAACAGTGGTAGTTTTAGACTAGCAAACCAAAGGGTCACATTCGAATTCTTTTAAGCAAAGGCTGTGGTGAAAACCGTAACCATTATGCAAGCAAATATGATAAGCTCTGCTGGGTGGTTAAGAATCTGCTAGAGCAGAACTATTGTTTGGTGACACAAGTACTTGTCTATCAGCAAATACGCCAAATTAAATTGGTGTTTCAAGTAAGATTCTCTTTTTTTCGAGTAAAAACCATCTAGAATACCTCCTTAGATAACATTCATGGCCCAATAAGGAAACAAAGTATAACGCAGTTTTCAAGGCAAACCAAAGCAGGTGTTATTCCAAATGCTGTGCCCTGAAGCAGGCCTTTCAGGAGCTGATGGACAAGCCATTCAGCTGCCTGGGCAGAAAGGACTATAAACTCATCAATTATGCAAGTTGACCCATCCCACTCATTAGTTAAAGACATTAAACTAAAAGTAGCCTGCTTTGATAGGTCACCTAGTTAGTAGGAAGAGACAACATAAAATCTCTTCTTGCTCTTTTGATAGTTAAAAAATATTTACAAGCGCAGAAAAAAAAGCCACTGTTTTCCCACATATACAGACTATCAACAATTCTTTTATCAAGTACTGTACGTTACATACAGCATCATTTTAACCTATAGATTGTAAATCTCTGTACGCTTTTAATCTGAAAAGTTTTTCACACCAGATTTTAAAAAAAAAATCTGTTTTACAATATTTATTCTTTATATTTTCAGAAGAGTAATGTAGAGTAAACAGAAGGAGGACCAAAATATTTTTTTCTTTAATAGTACAACTCATTCAGCTTGTTTGATTTGGTATCGAAACTACCTGTTTTCATAATATAATCTCTTATACCCTTATCATGAACTACCTATCATAGACTAAGAGTTTGTAAAACAACTGTTAAAAATATTTTTTCAGTAGTTCCAGCTTAAAAGCAGGAGGCACAAATATCTTCCTATACATTTAATCAACTCTAAAAAGTTAAATACTGTACATCTATGTTACAGTTTCAGCGCATGCCCAAGATTTGTCTGCTCTTTAGTTGGTAGTTTTTTTCCAGTTCAGACAGTGCTTGAGCCCGTAGATTTGCAGCATATAGACGTTTTTTGAGATCAAAGCATTTCCCTTTGGAAAGAGGATAGTTTTCCAAATTAATAGGAGGCACAGCATTCTCTTCACTTCCATCGAAGTGTACTTTCTTCTTGGTTGTAGAAAAGAGGAGCGGGAGTGTGTTATCTTAAGAAATAAAAAAATAAGTACTGAATTAGCGCATCTTTCAGCATTTATTGCTTAGCTTATGTCTTTTAACCCTGCTACTCATTTTGCTAACTACCTATGGCTTTAAGTAATCTAATTAAATGCATTTCAGTTCATAGCAACAACTCTCTTCCATTTTTGGAGGAAAAATTGAAAACAAGGCTTTTAAATAATTGTGGTAAAAGGATATATGGCATTGTAGTTTCTAGGGTGTATCTCCCAACACCTAAGGAAACATTAGTTGACATAAGGAGAAAGGACATGGAGTTTCTTCTGAAGGACAGGACAGTAACATAATCCAGTTCCAAAGGGAAATGGAGAATTAGGCTCTCAGCTACCGAAAACCCTTGTCTTTCCTTCACAGCAGGGGCAGACCCAACCTCTCCAGTGGTCTGTTCTACATTACCCACATTGTTCCAACTCTATCCTTGTATTAAGTCAATGGGGTACAGACTAGGCTCTGATCTGATGAATAGTGAGTTTAGGTGCATTAACAATTAGCAAGTTACTTTCATTGCAGTATCCAGGACAGGAATTTTCATAGCATGGCTATGCTTTAGCTGCATAGAACTGCCACACTCAAAAGGCAGTTGTTTGTTTTGTTTTTAATGATTTAGGGTACAAAAACTACCATCAAAAGATATTAAAAGAGCTAACTTCTCTCATAAGAGCCAACTTCACAAGACTCAACTCAGAAAAAAAAATTAGACCTTATCAAAGGTCTAACTATCCCAATCGTAACTGCTGAAGCCTTCATTTTCAATTCGTTAGGCTACAGCAAGGATGCAATAAGCACAGAAAAGTGAGAAGGACAAAACTGAAGGGGCTAGTGAATGTTGCAGCACTTTGTAGTTTCCTATCAGTAAGCTATATCTGTTTTAACATTACATCCTTCCCTAAGAATCAGAAAATCCCTGCAAAAAATAGGGTAACGTCTAGGACACTGTCCTAGAAACCAGGATTTTTGGTATTCTATTTTACTGTGAAATGAACCACACAACTGACTTTGAGGAGAAATTAGGGATCTAAGATGTGTGAGATGCAATCCAGTTGTGAAAAAGACAGTCATATTAGAGTAACTGAAGATAAACAGAAGCAATCTTGATAATGTATTGGAGAAACACTTAGTCCATTTATATCAGTACAGGGAGAATTTTAGAAACAGTATTACAAGAATACCGTGGAATGAATTTGAAGAGTAGCAAACATTGTGACAAATGTTTAATCAAGTGATCTACAGATATTGCAAGATTTGGTCGCTCTTGTAATAACTATATTCACTTCTCTGCATTGTCTGTCTTGAGGTATTAACCACTCAAAGTGGGTTTGCCCATCTTCAAAAATTAATACCCCTTTAAGATCAAAATATCATGTAAAGGGGTAGGAGATGCAGAAGAGAACAGAAGCAAATGCTGAAGCTCATTTACCTTCAGTCATCCAGTGCTAGAGGCAACATCAGAAAGCCCAAGGCAAGTTTATTCTTAATTTTACATTCTTTAGTGTATCAAAGTCAGACAAGATATTGAGAGAGGTGGAATTCTCAAAATTAACAGGAACATTAGCAATAGCTCAAGTACCACTAACTTCTGGTGGCATTTTACTTGTGTTCTTTCCTGCTGTGATAGGCACTTCTTGGAAAAAAAATGCAACTTCAGTTTTATTTGTATTAGAGGCAGTGACATGCTTATCTTGCTTTATCTGAGCAAAATTAAATTAAGAGATTGTTGCTGCATGTTAAAGGGTGTTCACATTTCTTTGTTCTAGAGTACTACTTGGGACCCAGCCATTTAATATCCCACCAATATTTCAAAATGCATTTAGATACTGGAATCATTTTTACTATTAAAGATGGGTGCAATGAACAGATGATACTACCTCTTATTGAGGACCAAACAATCATTGCCAAAGTGAGGGTCAAATACTTATGGGGTAATAACTACTGTAAAATAGATTGGATTACAGGTAGTCAGGAAGCATTATAGCACATTTTCAAAGCTGGTTTTTTTTCTAGTGAGTTAAACTGGAGTATGATAACAGCAGTTTGTATTCTTAGGAGCTTATACGATGCACCAATCACAGCTGGGTCACTTGCAACAAATATTATTTCCCACCTTGAAGTTTTTGGAAGTTGAACTAAAGTTGAAGTGATTAGACATGTACGATTTTATTAAAATTAACTAAATCAAAGGTCTATGAAAAGACATCCATAAGTAAAATAAGTACAGCTCTGAAAAAGCTTGGGTTACAAATCAGCACTTCCGTTAGCTTACCGCAAGAACGTAATTTTCAAAACAGCATAAGACTGCAGTGCTGACAGTGGTCACTCGTACTCATGGCTGAGCATCATTCATTAAGACTTTTGGCAAAGTAGAAAATCAAGAGTCTCCTCCCAGCCATGCAGAGATAACCGGGGTTTGTATTGTTACAGTGGGTCTAGGTACAGCATGCTGAGCTTCGGGGGAATTCTTCTGGTCATACCAGCCTACATTTATCAGTGCAAGTGGCTTCTTGCGTATTTTCATACCTGGACCATCTGCACAAGCTAATGTCCTCTGCTGTTTGTAGAGATTGTAGTTCCTCATCAAGTTTTCAGCTCTGTTTTGAAAAGAGAAGTTTAAGCTTTTTGTTGTAAGATTGTAGAGTTTATAGTCTAGGCAATTATAGGTTAGTAAGATACCTAGCAAGTTTGTCCTCTGCCAGTCTCTCTCGAACACAGAGTTCCCGTTCTCTCTCTGGAAGTAGAAATACGGTAGTATGCAGTGTTAAAATGTAAATGTTAAAGTTAGAGTGATAGTGCATGATGGATTTTCTTGCAGAAAAGGACAGCGTTAATAGTCTGTCAGATGCACCCATATTTCTGCTTGTATGGCTCTAAACAAAGCAAGATAACTGCTGTGCAGAAACACCTTCATCAGTGCACTGATAAAGCAATGGACAAGTACTCTGAAATGCCAGGCATGCTTCCCCCCCCCTCCAAACTCTGCCCTATCTGCAACGATTAAGCTATAGCAGCTTTCTATTCTGCACATTAACTCATAGCACTCATGACACCAGATCTAAATAAACATTTTGATACCAGGCACTATAATTCAGCTATGACTAAACACCGTGCTTACAGCAGCAGCAGCTGTTATTCAGTCTTAGAAAACAGTATATATGGTTAAAATCTGTATTACAGAGCCTACTGCATATGCAAAGAGGTATTTTATGTGGGCAGGAAATCCCAACACCTGAGGACCAGCCATCTATACAGTTTCACAGGCAAGCTACCTGTAGGGTACAGCTTCTGTAAAAGCAGTTGACAGCTTACTCAAGTATATTTTGCTCCAACATCAGGCTCACCTTAGGTTTCACATTATTGTAGCCAATGTTAACTTACACAGAGTAGGTGAAAAGCAACCTACACTGCACAGTGCAGAACAATATATTCAGACCCTATTTTTCTGTATACTTTCCTAATTGCCACTCGTATTTAATAATCTTCCCAAACCAGACTTCTAAATCCAACCTGCCAATTATCTTAGTAACTTAAAACAAGAACTAGTATAGATGAGTAAGCCCAAGCATTCTTGTTTTAGTCTTTAGACAGAATTCTAGTAGTGAACGCAGGAGTACGATATCCTAGTGCATTAAAATGAGGGGTTTGAGAACCGTCTACCTTTCCTTCCTCCGCACTTATTCTTTTGAATCAGAATCCCATTGCCACCCCCTTCCCAAAGTGGAATATCATACGCTCCAAACGTTGCTCTCTCTCTTTAATGGCTTGTTCTCGCTCCTGTAATTGTTGTTCCTTCCGTTTCAGTTCATTCACTACAGCATCCGAATGCTGCAGCCTTTCTGGTTCCCATGATCTCCGGCCTCTTTTATCAGAATTTTGTCTTTGTTCTTCTGTCACCAAGTCTGCTATCAAGGGGTGCTGCAGAATATCTTCAACAGAAGGTCGGCAATAATCCTAAAGGAAAGACATTACCAACAGGTTCCACCTGTAACCAAGAAACATTAAGGCCAGGGATTTCCAAGCAAGACCACCTCAGGTGGAAACCAGCTGAGGTGCTATACAGTGAAGGAGAAGTTGGAGAAAAATGGAGTTAGGAAGGGGTAGCACAACCAGATGACAAAAGCTGAGGGAGGAGGCTGTTACCAGCCTTCAGCTCCAGAAGCTGCAAGTCTGGCTCTCCTAGCGCAGGCACCCACTCCTTTCAGAACCAGAATTGGGTAGTGAGCCTACAGAGGCAACTGTCAGTAGGTTCTGGAGCTACCACTCTGCATCTCTACCTGTGACTTGATTCCTGAAGGATCTATACTCGTTGGAGACTTGGATTCTTGTTACAGCTTTGTTGTCCCATGCAGTAGTATTCTCAACACCCCCATGCCAGCCATGGGGGGCGAGCTATACATTAGCCATATAAAGCAAAATCCAAAATGAAGAGAAAACAACCCCTTCCGACTTCCAAACACACCGGAACCATTTTAACCTTGAAGTTATAAGACCCTGTTAAGCATGCTGTTAGGAAGTTCTGTATAAGCCAACATTGAGACAGCCTTTTTGCATCCTGTGAACCTGGCGTTAACACTTGAGCTGCTGCCTTTGTTTAATGGACTCAAAGCACAATTCTTCCCCCCTTCCCCTACAAGTGATATTGCCAGTGACAAGGTGATAGCAACCACTACTTCAGATCAGTTTGTTTCATAATTGAGAAGGAAAACTAGTATTTCAGTACTAGTTCGAATTATAGGTGGAAAAGTTAGTAATTGATTCTTACCTTTACATTCAGCATCTCTTTGAGAAGTTCGTTCAACTGCTCTGAGTAACGATATGGTATTCGTCTGAACTTCCCTTCCCTTATCTTTTCTGCCAACTCCTTTTGGTTGTAAGCTCTAAATGGAGGCCTGAAGAACAACATTTTTCTTGGATTCTTTCACTAGTTTTACAGGACTTATTTTCATAAAATAAGTATCAGACTAAGAAAAAAGCTGCAATCAAAGGTTTGTTTTGACTACCTAATGTCAAGACCAATACGGAAACAAAAATCTAGGACTAGTCTCTGAAACCTTTAAGCTTTCATCTATACAAGCTGTTAATGCATTTATGATTAACTTTATGTTTCCACATTCATTACCACACTACTATACTTACGAGAGAGCACATAATTCATACAGGAGACATCCTAGAGACCAGATGTCAGATTTTTCATTGTATGACATGTGGTTCATTTGTTCCTAAAGAAAGAGAACAATCTTAAGTTTATTAACTAAGACATTGTTCTACTATTGCAGGATAATCAGCTACTGTTCAAACCTGAATTAAACCATTACTTACTGGGGTTACTTTTAAGATTCCATCTTAATTAACTTCCACAGCTACTCTTACTAGCAGGATTTCAACAAGCTATGGAGTACTACACTGTAGAAGACTGAAGTGTTGCACCAATCTTCCGTTGATACAACTCCGTATTTCAGTCAACATTAATCTTTCCCCACACGAAATGCACCGTATCAGGGCAATAACTCCTTCTTGCTTATTTTCACTACAAATTAAAATCCTACCATCAAAAGGTAATTTCATAAGCTCTTTACCTTAACACTATGAAACATAAAAGCGCTCTGGCTTCCCTGTTCCTTTTCAGGACCAAGGTACTCCAATATAACTACCTTGCATCTCTAATATTCCAGGAACTTATCAAAACTTACACAGTGAAGAACAACCTTAATTAGAAGGCAGTGATGGGGTGAGGAAGAAAGGAGATGAAAATAACTGCAAAATAACCTTGTCTCCAGAACATATACACTCTATGAAAAAAGTCACCCGCATTTAAGACTAATAACTCTTCATTAAAACCTCCCAACCATTCATGGACTCTGCGATCAACACTGCAGAACACAGATCTTGGAGGGACAAGAGGAAAGATAAGGCACAGAAGGGAAGCCTTACTGGAGACATGTAATATGGAGTTCCAACAAATGTTTTGGCAAAGCTGGTGTCATGGTGCAATATTCTAGCCAGTCCAAAATCTCCAAGTTTCACATTCTGCTTGCCATCTAGAAAGACATTTGCTGGTTTTAGGTCACGATGCACAGCGACTCCACCATCACTCCGTCTGTGACACTCCTTCAAGGCCAATGTCAATTGAGTCAATACTCGGAGAACAAAGCTTTCTTCCAAGTAATGCCTGAAAGATGAGCACATTGTTTAACAAAGGTATTCTCTGAGCATACATCAGTTTCAGTAGTTGCTGCCAGTCTTAGTTCTGTAACTTTTTTAGTACTACTGCTATAAAACATCACTGAATCAAGCCCAGCACCTTTATAGAAAACTAACAGCAACAGACATCTACATATGCTATTTTAAAAACGGAAGTTTAAAAAAAATCACTCCAAATATGTTGGAAGACATCTAGACTTTTGTTGCAGAATCCCCGTTAATATTCCCTTCCTCCCCCAAAGGGTCTAACAAATACATAGCATTTCCATTACTTACAACACAAACATTAATTTAACACTTTTGTGATGAGATCTGCCCCTTTGATCACTTATGACAGCAACAGGCATCTACATATGCTATTTTAAAAACAGAAGTTTAAAAAAATCACTCCACATATGTTGGAAGACATCTACACTTTTGTTGCAGAATCCCCGTAATATTCCCTTCCTCCCCCAAAGGGTCTAACAAATACATAGCATTTCCATTACTTACAACACAAACATTAATTTAACACTTTTGTGATGAGATCTGCCCCTTTGATCACTTATGATAACAGTATATTGTCAGCTGTTTCTAAAACTGTTATGAGCAACATACAACAACAATAGAGCTGAGACGGGACTGCTTTTTAATATAATCCTCCTTAAAATGAAAATACTAATATGTTTGGGGACAGCTGCAGTACCATTTTAGACTATTCTCACAAAGCAACACGTGTGGCATCATGTACTCACTTAACCTAAGAATGTGAAAACTGGTATTATACTTAAGTAGGCTGCTAAGTTTAAGATTAGACCAAGGTGTTGGTGTCTCCACAAGCTTTATATGCAGGCACATAAAGTAGTTTTTAACATCGTGTTCAAAATCACTTTTCCTTTTCACTTATTTTGCTGTTCTAACAAAAAATAGGGTACAAGTGGTTTTACCGACAGGCAAGCCAGAAGAACCCACAGGTCGAGCTACCTATCTGCAAGGGCTGTTTTATGTTCTCAACACCATGCTTAGCATTGCACCCAGAAACCCTTCAACAGCTTCCGCCTCATAAGAGAGCTCAGGGTTTTTTTTCCTATTTGGAGATAAACACCCAATCAGTCGGTGCATTCATTAGCGCAATTCCCCCCAGTGTTGTAAATTGGTACAACCCTTTCACATTTCAGAAAGGTTGTCGGGTCCAAAGGATGAGACCCGAAGTTGTTTGGAAGTTATTAAGAAGAGATACTTTTCACTTTGAGCTTTTTCTTTTGATCGCCCAAGACACTTTATGCCAGATACTCCAAAATTGCCACAAACAGACGTCACGTGCCTTTCTTTTGTGCACCTTGCAATTAAGCTAGCCAGGTCACCCCCGTCACAGTACTCCATCACGATGTATAGGGTTGTGCTGCTTCTGTCGATGATCCGATCGTAATACCGGACAATGTTCGGATGTCTCAGCTCGCGAAGCAAATTCACTTCCGAAACAAGCATTTGTTTCTCTGCCTCTGTCATCGAGCCGTAGTCCAGCTCCTTCCATACCAAGATCTAGGGAGGGAAAGAAGAAAAAAAGCTTAGGGAGTGACTTATACAGAAGCCAGAGCTCTGCCGGGGGGAAGAGGGGCCTCCAAAGCCACTCGCTTATCTCGGAGTGCCGCCAGCACCCAGCTGAAACCGACAGCAACGGCACGCTACCAGGAGGCACGACTAACA